AGAAATTTGAGTCATTCCATAGACGCAATAACACAAGTGCCCATCATGTAAATATCTGACATGAAGACCTTCGATCTACTTATTCCGCACTCCCACTTCATGGTACAACATGACTCCACCCAACTCGCTTTTTTTTTGGTTTTCCATATGGCAAAAGTTGTGTATAGTACCTGGTACTTTTTTTGGTACCACCTCCAGCCGATACCAGAAGATGGAGTCAAAACACTGCAGCCTGCTGATTGTTTAGAGAGAATTGTCATCACAAATCACGGGACATCCTGCACAAACCTGCCATTTTGAAAAAGCCAAACTACCGTGAATAGATTTAAAAAAATGGTAGCTTTCAAAACTACACTACACTGTACACTTGACCATACACTACGTAGACTATGCTGTACAGTTAATGAAGTGCAGACGTTCCTCTGTTTAGTTGCCAATGAAAGGATTCAGGTGTCGCAGTAAAGATGATGGCATGGTAGTAACAGGCGATGTACATTGCAGTGGAAATGAGGCATTATATTACCAGGTCAGGTACTTAAATGACTGATGTGTGACAAAGACTTCTACCCATATGCCGAATTTCAAATTAGCACTGATATATCATTTGTATAGTGGTAATTATCTCAAAGTTTTCACACTCAAGTTTGAGCTCACTCTGCATCATCAGAGGCAGAGGTGATTATCAGGGTGCCACAGCCACACAGCACACATATTTATCACTTTAAGGAGATAATTGGGTGTGAAAACCTTGGAGACAGGGGATAACAAATGAACCGCCAGAACGAAATTACTTTCATAACTTCTTTTGTAACCTTTGCAGGATACAAATACATTAAACAAGTTGCAAATGAAGTGACACACTTTGCACGATCAATGTCCACAAGAGACATTTTTACATTCATTGTTGGGGTGTTATTTAAAGAGAACTTACACTGAATCATTATTTACTGTACAGATGTACATGATATGCGTTATAAAGACTGTACTCTATGAAGGGTTCTCGTTCTTGTCTCTGCACTAACGACTTCCACTGGGTGGAACTGGGTGAAAGTTAGTAGAAGGTAATAGCCAAAAGTGAATTTACATGACAGTGTAGTTACTAGAGCGCTCTTTCCAAATTTGGAGGAAAAAAGTGGCAAAAAATATTGTGAAACAAAGACATGAGCTGCAGCTATGTAGAACATACCTGATTGTATTATGAATCTGTTCTGTTTGTTCAACTTGTGAACCATTCCACCACTAACATACACCATACCTGACATATACAGTACGGCAGAGGTTGAGTGTGACACCTGAACTGCTTGGTTGGATCAGGAAAAGAAAAAGAAAAAGTCCTGTTATGAAAGAAAACACCAGCAAAGCATATAATGTGCGTTTGGAGATAAATCTCTTCTGTAGTGAAGCATCTGCACTGCACTAGCTTAGGGGGCAATGGAACCAGTCGCTGTGCTGTAGCTTAGCTTAAGGGTTCATATTTTCTTTAATCTTGTGTACAAAGCTTAAAGATGGCACCCGACCAAAACAAGCTCAAGAACCATTTCTTATTTATTTTGCTTTGCCACAGGGATTTGTAGGCTTATAAGGGTGTGAGAAAACATGCTAAGAATTTGAGACATGTGATCTTTTCAACTCTCTATGAATAACAACTAGTAATCTGATATCTTCACATGTCGAAGAATTACAAGTGGGTCTATGTTGAATTGATCAGTGAAGATTTGTAATATTCAACTCAAATATTACATTCATCCTCATATTATTTTGTGTGGAAATGTCTCTTTATTTCAACTCCAGATAATAAATATATAAAATAAATACATTGAAGTGAGAAGTGTGCATGTGTAGGATAAACTCTATATATTACACAATTCTGTCTACATATTTAGCTGGAGTTACTGTGTCCAAAGGGAAATAATTCCCTGCACAATACTCCTCTGCAGTTTCTTAAGGATAAACCATGTTTCAATAACCATAGTGTGACAAGCTGTTGAATACATTTATATTTAACACTCACTGGTGCAAATTAATTAAAAAATCCATTCTTGGTCTGCTCCCATGGGGCAAATGGGCAAAGATGCTTTTATGTTCTCTGCCCCTGCAGCCTGGAACCTCTTGCAAACAGATTTGCTGCTAGATCACAATTAGAGCATTTAGAAAATTTTGTTAAAGGTTTGGAGGCTAATTCATTTGGAATTTGTAATTGCTTCAGACAGATTCTCCCTTGAACTCAATAAATCAAATAAACCGCAAAGCCATATGGAAGGTCAGGCTGGGCTACGTCGGTTACATTGGAGGTGGACACAAGCCTAGCCTGCCGCTTTTCTAACGTCCAACGCGCATTAACGTTAAATGTATATTAGCACTACCAGAGATAATATTATACTTATAATGCAATTGTGCAAATAGCAATAATTTATTTTGTTTACAGAAGAAACTTAACTCTATCCCTGAGAAAATTGTGATCTCAACTCTTACAAGACTCACGCAGTCGTAGTGTGAATTGAGTGTTTATCCTCTGCAGCTTGTTTTCCTCTTCTGTGCTTCCTGACGGTGGATATCACACCTGGATTCCTCATCAGTGCTACCCAAAACATCAGATGTGATTCAGAATTCAACATCATAATCCAGGAAAGTGAATCCATGCTAAGTAGTTTGTTGACTCTAATGCAGTTAGGAAATATGAAATGAAGAGACACAATCACACCATTCTAACCTTGTTTGTTTCTTTGTCTGTGGAATGTTTACCATAATCCCCCAAAAACACTCCTCACAGTCTTGGAACACTACTTGCCAGAGAATTTGCAGTGCGCGTGTTGCATTAAAAGGAACACTGTGAAATTGAAAAGAAGCTACTGTCTCTCTGGTAATTTCTCTTTGCTATGTGGACATGTTAATGTGCATAATTAACTAATCAGCTTATGCCAGCTGGAACACTTGCAGTTCAGTCTGACAGCTTCCTCTCCTGAAAACATCTTGAAAGATTCTGGTTCGATCTACCTCTGTGTAATTGTATCTCCTGCCAGGCTAGAATAACTTTAGCTTGGACAGTCCCCAAACAAACAGGTGTTTTTGTTAAGATTTTACAGTGTTTTGTGCCACACAATTTCCATTGTGTAAGTATTTAAACTGCTGAAAACTATGTTCTCCATTCAATGATTCATTGCATGTTTGAGTTGTGTATTTCTATGATTGACATTACCACTAATTGGAACAGTGTGTAAGTGTTCATCTGAGTATTATGACATGTCTCCGTGTTATGGATATACAATTCTTAAGGAAACAACAAATGGTCACCGACTATTACTATGAAAAATAGTCAGAACATTTTTAGAGCTTGGATATACATTTATGTTTTGTTAAATGGCTAGAATACTTATTTTATAAGAAGGTATTCAGAGTAGCAGGAGAGAAAAATCTGTCTCCACTGTCTGTATATATAATGTATATATTTACATTTATTTATTTCCTCATTTATTTATTTAACATTAAATGAAATTCCTACTGAAATGAGATCTTGTCCAATCCTACATATAAACAAATTTAGTTGGATGTTTGATGTTTGTAGAGGTCCCCAATCAGACCAGTTGTCTTGATTAATAGTAATACTTAATTTGTCATTAAGGCTGATTAATTCCATTAATTTGTGAGGTTTAAAGTCATTCAGTAATGTCACCGAGAATCAATTATTTGCCATGGCAACCAGTATGAAGAGGACAGTGATTGTGGGAGTTTAACAAATATATATGCGACGATCACTAAATATAAAAAAGTGGTCAGCACCAACAGCTGTGTCTGTATACATGTGAAACAGCACTTTAATCCTAATGTCTACTTTTCCAAAAGCCAGATATTGTATATGTCTGTGTGCGCAGAAATGGTCCTTGGCAGTGGAAGCCATTGATTTTCTCAATGCGTCTGTACAGCATCTCTCCTTTCCAGCCGGCACAGCATGTAATATGAGACCACAAGTTTTATTTTACCCACGGCAATCAATTTTGCTTAGCTGAGCTCCCCTGGCCTGGATGGGGTCTGCCTAAGTACCTGTCTCCTCTGACACGCAGCCCAGCATATACCCTTGTCCTGGGCAAAAAAGCTTTCAGCTTAATAAAAAAACATATCTGACTCAAGCCCCGGCCGATCTAATAACAGCCAGACAAGTCAGCGTGACTACAGAGTGCCAACTGTGTCACTGCCGGGAGGTGGTATGCGAGGAGCGAGTGCAGCAGAAAGGCCAAGAAATCAAAGCAATCACTCTGATCTTCAATACCCTGAGAAGATGATCCATATCACAATTGCTTCTATACTATCAGTTTTACAGCTTAAAGTAAGATGTGGTTTTTTATATAAAAGCAAAGAGCATTTACTGCCTTTTATCTTAAAAGAACAAAAAAAAAATCCAATATATGAGGACATACGTGAGCTCAAACTGGGCATGATTGAGTCTGATTGATATGTATCTTAAACCCCCTAGGCCTCCATCAATCTCACATATTATTAAGCAGAAAGACTGTGGTGTAAACGTTCACTTAGAGACGTGTCTTGTCCCTTTAAGGAGACATTTTCAGCCATCAGTTACTGTAATGAAAATAAATGGATTGGCTGTTTTCATAGAGATAGAAAGCCTGGGCTGCAGCCAAAGATAGCAGGGCTAAACTCTTCAAACAGAGGCCGTGTGGGTGAAAAAAGAAATGCCTACCTATTACTGACTGTTTTTATGAATAATACTGAATGCTAGCTAATAGAGGGAGGATTTTGATATATAATTCCTCCACAGCTCACACTGTACACACCAATGAAGTCTCTCCCTATACAATGCTGCATAATTGAATCTATTTGCATGCATTACGATGTACACACCATCAATTACTGTGCAACGGAGGAAAGAGCTAATCCTTCAGCAGAGCAAAAACCAGCTATCTGCAGGAACCTGACCGTCTGCCGTTCATTTACCTGCTAATATATTGATACAATCTCGACAGTAGCTACAAAAGATAACATCTTACCTGTAGCCACTGTGACTGGTCACTGCGTCCAGCAGTCCAAGCATTGACCTTGCCCTGTTTGTCCAACCGAGCCTTTCCAGGCTCCCAAGTGAACATGTCCATGTTGAGCGTCCTGAAGAGGCTGGAAGCCGTGACCTGGTAGTCCTGGATATGGCCTGACTTCATTCCCAGTGGTTCAGAACAGCCTGACAACAACAAAGACAAACACTTTTGTTCTAACCTTCCTGACCGCATAACCCCCTGCTCTCCAAATAACTATATATTTTCAGTGCTGTTGCCACATAAAAAAAATGCAGCATGACACAATTGTGGTGGATTTTCAGATCACTACATCCTTAATTTGTGTGTACAGTTGGATGAAACATGCTCAGCTCCCTCACCTGTCAACTCACAACCAAGCAGCTCCATGCGTAAGGTACAGTGCCTCCTGCAGACTTGGGGGTAAATGCGCACGTACTGGGCTTCAATGGGAGGGGTGAAGGAGTTGGCTGATGGGGCGTTGTTATCGACGTTTCCTCTGAAAATCTGTTGCAGGGGATGAAATAACAGCAGATGGGGGCGGGGAAGGATGGTGAAGCAGATCAGTTTTGCCGTTATGCAGTCTCTAGCGTCTACTCCACACTCAACAAATTGCTGTCATTCAAGGTCAATGAGCTAGAATTGCAGGGAAAAATAGACAATTTCTCGCATCATTTGAGCCCGCAATTCATAAGAACAGTGGTGTGTTTTAAATTAGCTCTCCAATTATATCGCCATACGTTCTGGAGAGTTTTATCCTAAAGACCTGCGATAGTCTGACAGAGAAACTCTGATATGAGTGACTGATGTACTGCATGTGTGAGGCGCAGAGAGAAGGCGACACAGAAAGAGAAAGAGAGGGAGAGACAGAGCAGTGTGTTTTCATGCGATACAAGAAAGTAGGAGCTGTCACTGGGTGGCAACAGGTCAATGTGAACAGAAATCCCCGATTTATATTAGGTCAAGAATCAGGGCATGTGACTACCTCAAACACACCGACAGATCCGACTGTGCAGGTGTTTATCTCAGTCTGCTCATACGGCTACAACTTCCACCTCCACAAATACTGCTTGCAAATTTAGACTCACAATCTCACTCACATCCTTGCTTTCTGTAGGACACATTTTTACAGACAACTACGCTATAAAAAAGAACAAAAAAGAACAAAACTGCGATCACAGAATATTCAAGTCCAGACTCATTGTTCCGGGTAACAAATCTGAAAAGAAGTTTGGAAGTCGGTGTCATTCGGAGCTTGGCCAAATGGAGGAGAGCCGTGGTTTGCTGTCAGGAATGATAGAACGCTGTGTTACCTATCTTGTGGCTGTTCGTCCCCAAATAGTATAAAAATTCAATCTAGAAGTCATAAAAGTGGAGGGGGGCAAGGGGCAGCAAGATGGGGCCCGGTGTGTGCTAGCTAATTAAAAAGCCATCTCATCATGTCCTCCACCCTGCCCTTGACTGAGTGCAAGTCTCTAGTTGCCGCGTGTGCACGTGCGAGTGTGGGCATGTGTGTATCTCAGTCTGTGTTTTACAGAGTGAGAGGCTGAAGGAATAGAGGGGAGAGATGACAAGGGTTGTGTATGCGCTGTGTTTGTGTACCCACGCGTGTGTCTCACCATATCATCATCTTTGCCCTTGACTTTGTATGTTCTCCAGGTTTTCCCGTCATCACTGTAGGCTACTTTGTAAGACTTGACGTACTCCGGGCTGCCGATACGCTTTGCACCCTGGGTAATTAGACCTGTGACCCTCATTCTCCTCTGCAGGTTTATCTGTGGAGTCACAAAAAAAAGAGGCAAAATCAAGAAATTACTGCTTCATTTCCAGAGTTTGAATGTGTGCATCTGTGTCTGTGCACGAGCAGTGTGCACGTGCATGTCATGGGAATCAAGTCACCCCTTTGTATCTATTCTGTCAGGGCCATCCATCTTATTCAGAACGTCTGTGATCAAATGGAACATTTAATCAATCCTCACGCTCTAGATCCAGACTGTCAACCCTGTGCAGACTGTCAATATGCTGCCAATGTAAAGCGGCTTGGAGAGCCAAGAGGAAAAGAGAGGGCTAAGAAAGAGGAATGTGATGAATGTTTCCATAGATCCTGCTTAGCGCACACAATGCAGGATCATTATTATCTCAGCGCGAAAGATGTGTTACACACCAGTTACAGGTTTGCTTTGACATGATTTTCACTCTGACCGAGTCCATTTCAGTGAAAGTGCACATATTCCACATATTTTCTTCTCACAAATTAGGTTCTGGTATGTGTATGTTTAATTTATGTTTTCGTGTTTACCTTCCAGCGTAGCTCATCACTACATATTCTTAATGATACATTTACAGTTTTCAGGTGGATAACTACACAATTTGGTCTATAAAAATGCACATCTTAAATATTACATAATTTGCAAACTTTTATTTCTTTACTTTATATGTTTAAACTAAGTGGATGACATACTGGATGGTCAAAACTGAATTTCCACTCATCACTAATGACCACAGCATAATGCCTGGCTCCTAGAGGATCCCTCCATACAGGGCCAGCATATCCCCCAAGAGCCATTTTATTAGGCTTCTAATGTATACCAGGGATGCAGATAAAAATGATAAAAGGGATACATTTCAAAGCATTCTTGTTTGATTGACAGGAGTCTCTATGCCCATCACAGCATTGTAGTGGTGGTTGGTGATTCCTCATCTCCTCCCATGTCCAAAATTGAATAACCTACCTCCAGATGCAGGATGGCAGCAAGCCTCAGAGACCTAAAGCATGAGTGGTGTCATGTTTTCCTACACTCTACATCTTAATATAGTGCCTCGCTCTCGCTGTGTAATACTGGTGAACTTGTTAGAAAAAAATTAGAGAAGTCTCTGGAGTTATTTTGTAATTCTTCTTAACGGCTTTTGACAGCTCAGTTCATATGAAGAAGCCTGTGGTTACAAAAGAGTGGAGCTTTGTCACACACTGTACTCACAGGCACTTACACACACAGGCACGCAAACGCACATTCACACACACACACACACACACACACACACACACACACACACACACACTGCCTATTTCTTTTTCTTTAGAGTGAATATCAATATTGATACAAAAAGTAGGGCAGCATTACACGAGGCAATTTCAGTATTATAATACAGTAAGACACTTGTGATAGTCTGTGACAAATGAGATAAAGTAAATAAATGCTGATGACAATTATTCATTAATCATTTTGGCACTACATTCACAACAAGCTGCTTCATTTTCAGGAAGAAAAGAGACTTTGGCTCATCTGGCTCACCCTCTGACAAAATGTAAAAGCACAGCTGTCTAGTCTTCCGTAGCTGCAGCACAGACGGGAAGCAATAATACAATACTGAGTGAGTACTAAGGAAAGGACCATTAACCTGCAATGGCCAAACCTAAAGAAAGAAATGCACACGAAAACAGAATTTGAATTACATCATGAATTGCTCTACTACAGCCCGAGGTCGCATTTATTCTTATAGTTTCCTTTTTAAGATCATGTATTCTAAACAACAAAATCCATAACTTAATGTGATGTTGCAAACAAACAAGACGACATATTTTGTAGCTTATGTTTGCGAAGCTGAAGTCAGTTTCTATTTAAGAACATGAACCACTTTCAAGGTAATCCATGAAAAATGGGAGATTAACTTCACTGACAATGTGACCACATTCAGGATGGTATTCCAGGGGCTTGAGTTTACTTTACGGTGCAGGAATGTTTAGCATTACTATGAAATAAGGCAATTTACTATGAAATAAGGCAAGTGAAATAGTTGAGAGTAAAAGCTCAATCTGAGCCCACTGAGTTATACTCTCTTTTTCTGTTAAAGAAAAAAATAACAACTCTAAGCTGTGTCTCCTGAGGACATTAGAGATCACAATAACGGCTCTTACAGATCCAGCACAAGAAAATAACTGTAGACGTTCACCGACCTTGTCTGAACTGTCAAGATCTAATGGGGTGATGCATACTAGTTCTATTGCAGTGTTGATTTCCTGACAAATTTACAGTTGTAGAGACAAGACTCAATTACAGATATTTTTCTACACACTTAAACCAACGTATCAAGTTAATTATACACAAGGACCGCTCTTAGAGCCTCAGAGCTGCAATGACTCCCACCACTCTTTCTCATTCACAGCATTTCTTTGCTCTTCTCATTTTTCTCTATAGAGATAGATACTTCTCGCGCTAATTAGAAGCTATGTCACTAAAAGGCCACTGCACGGGATAATTGGGGTGATCGTTCGCATTTTTAATGACCACGCAGAAACATACGTCTGTCACCTCAGCGCTAATAGTGATGCATTTATTTGGTTGAGTGACACATCATCGGAAACATCCTCCATGGGGAGACCTTTGTCAGCAGACATATACGCGTCAGTTGGAAGGAAAATACGTCAGTGTGAGAGGTATTTAACCTAAAATGCCAAATGTACGCATAATACTACACTCAGCATTGCAGATTAAGCCACAACAAATTTAGAACACACTTTTTGATAATACCATCTTTATAATACCATCTTTATAATACCATCTTGCATTGTGCAATTGAACCCAAACTTTGATGACACATGCAGAGATGAAAATGTGGCATTTTAACTTATTCCCATTACTCCGTGGTCATGACACTGAATCACTTTAGATTATTCACAATCCATCTTTATGTCAAGACATAAACATGCTATGACTCAAATATTTTCCAAAATCAGCACGATTGTCTACCACTAAGTATATTTTGATGCAGATCTTCATCAATATATGGAATAAAAATGTCAAATTACTGACTTGTTTGTCCTTAGCAGATGTTTGCACTCTCTAAGTTTGTGCAAAAGGGAGCCAGAAGAAAATGTTTTAAATGAAACTCTTAACCCTTCCACCATTTCACCCTTTTCCCTAAAACATAGTGTCCTGGGTGGGAAGTGCTCTGGGTAAAAAGCATGAGCCTCCAGAGGAAAAAGCTTCAACATCATAACAGTTTAACCTGTTTACTCTCTGAAAAACATTCACTGCCGTGTGAGAAAAACACAATTTTGAGCCATCCTTCAAATGATAAGTTTGGAACAGATTTTCTACAACAATTTTTAAGAAACGATCAATAAGGTCCTGGTCCTTTTGACGATTAGCTCTTCGAATTTCTTCCTCATTTACGAAAAAAAACGGATTGTTGGGATGACAGAACAAGCTGTTAGGTCACCTTGAGCTGTGGGAAACGTCAGCAGGCATGTTTCACGATTTCCTGTCATTTTATAGAGAGAATGGTTGACTAATGGAGCAAGAAAATTGTTAACTGTATATTCAATAAAAAATAACCATCAGTTGTTGCCCTAATGATGAGTAAAACTTCAATTCAAATGTGTATAGTACTGCAGTGCTGCTGTAAGGGACTGGCTCACTAACTTATTTCATATCATATTATAACTTGCTAAACAATGAAGAACAGCATCAAATACCTTTTTTATATTTACATAAAATGCTTTCCAGCGCTCATTAAACTGAAAAAAAAACATGTTTATTAACAGCTAGCTTCCAGGTCTTTATCTTGCCAAGACCACTAACGATTACCAAATATCATACCAACAAGCAAGACCTCATACAAACATCACACATGCATTAGAAAGCCAAGAGCACACAGAGTGATAAAATATCCTCTGTTGATTACACATTGGGATCACAACTGTTGAGGGAATTGCAGCAGTATTGTAACAATTACATTTCCCTGTGTCCTTGAAGCTACAAAAGAGCCCTGTGGCACATTACATGCATACTGAAATTAAATCGGCTTTTAGTTTTTTTCTTCTCTTTTTGTTTAATTTATATGATGTTTGGTGTGTAAGGTAATTAAACCTTATGGTCTGTATTTCACTTAACCATCACACGCCAGAGAAGGTTTGAGATACTAGTGACTCATCGTAAAACCACAGCATAAAAATAATCCAGACCGTGTCACAACCTCACAGTAATAGACAGTGATATGCCATTATGCCGTTTGGTCATAGAGGCATTGCAAATGTTTATAGGATTTAAAACAGCCTGAACCAACGGTCCACATCTGAGATACTGTGGCAGGACCAGGAGGAGACCGCCCCACCAACCACCTGCCAGTGATTTGAAGCATTTGAGGAGGTGGTCGCTGTTAACCGCTGTTAGAGACCGATGCATTGCTCAAGGTTAGTCTCATGAACCCAAACTCATTTCCATCCAAATCAAGATTTGGTGGGAAAGCGTATTTCACTCAGCCCAAAAATGTTATATAATAATGCAGAATAACACTTTTTGTACTGCAGTGTATGTATCCAAAAGCTTTTTTCAATTACTAATGACTGCAGTCATGCTGTGGGCATTTGTCACATCTCAACCCCCGAACAGACTGTAGAGTTGAATATTTTGATAACAAAGCTTACACTGAAATGAAAAGGGACAGAAAGACACAGACTTTGAGTCGAAGCAGGTTACATTATATACATACCCAAACAATTCTGCATCTGAACATTACGTCATTAACAGTTTACCTTGCAATACATTATGTATAGACCCTCTAAACCTTCGCAAGTGATTTGAATTGTTTCATTCTTCCAACGCAGCCGGCTGGAGCTATATTCTGCTGAGATTGGCCAGACCTGCAGCATATTTCCCTTGAGTGTTCAAATGCAATTTTATGTGTGAGCTAGTCGTGGCGAAGCTGTGGAAAACTGATATTCTGACGGTACAAAAATGTGTGAACAGTAGCAAGCTCAATTCACAAACACACGAAACAACATGAATACAAACTAAATCTTTACAGTGAACGCATGCTTTGTTTGCACTTCTATGATGTATTATTCAAAGTATGTTGGCTCTGTGTTTGATTTGAAAGAGCAGACACAGCCTGACTTAAACAAATACATGCTGCACCAGAGAAAACCTTACGAATAGCCAGACCAATCTGATCCCTATCCTGGCAGAGCTGTCATCCGTCAGTGTAACCTGTTTCACATAACAGGCATGCAAACGCGGTCACGCCACATCACTCTGCACTACAAAAGCACAGGGTCGCCTCCTTAACATAATCCCAAAACACTGACTTGACCGTACACCTCTGTTCCCACGTCCCAATTATCCAAGCCCTCTGTAGAAACACACAATGCCTTCAGCATCCTGCACAACATCCCACGTGGCATCATTATAGTCAAACAAACCGCCCGAATGCTTTATGTCGCGTGCTCCTCAGCCTCTCCATGTGCCAGGCTTCTTTTCTCTCACTCACGTCGGCTGTTTCTTTGACGCTCTCTCTCTCTTTTTCCTTCTTTTACACATCAACTTTTGACCTGTGATACTATTCTCTTGTTGTTAGGTGCAGCTTCGCTTTCTCCATCACGCTGTCACACCGTAGTATGTTTTCCTATTACATTTTGTTCATGGTTCACTGTCCGTGTGTCATGTATCTGATAACGGCCTACTTCAAAAGGTTGCTGTCAGCATTTCTGTCCTCACAGAAGTGACTCAAGAGTAAGAGAAATGTAACGCAGCCAACAAAACATTATTTATATGATAGTTTAATTAATCAGCTACCTTAATGAGGAATTACTTTCACTATCTGTAATATAATTCTATCTGGAATACTCCAAGCATTGGGACTGAACTGGAGATGGTAAGACATCTATATATCATAGCTATGCATCCAATTTGGAGTTTGGAGGATATTCATATGCAAAGCTATGCATCATCTGACAGTTGTTCTTTATGCCACAGCCATTTCAGCATGTAGTCATGATGTCGACTATTTGCTCAACATACATCCAGACAATTCGTTCTATGTATATGTCATCAACTGGAGCCAGATCATGTCAGTTGAGGGAGCTGCAGAGGCTTCAAGAACATCACTTTAATCATTGCCTAATGCAATGGAATCCTTAGGGTTATAATTCTGCAATATTACACTCTGGGAGTGACTTAAACCATGCCCCAAAAACAAAAGAAATGGGATCTGGGCATTCAGGGGCAGCATGAAATCTACAGTATCATGTCTACTGTTTAACAATAAGCCCGGACTAATGGTTATGACAGCATGCAGGTTAACTTTAACAAAGCGTAGTAAGAGCGTGTATCAATGCTTGCTGTTTTTCATTTCACAGGTTTTTTACGAGCACCCTTAGGTTGTCATACAACCATTCTGAGGTCTTCACTAAATGTCAAAAGGAAGGATCGAATTGTTGTGCTGGATTCAATATTGCTTGTGGGTAACAGGAAAATGACTGTAAATATTAGTGCAGATTGCACAATTATATATCAAATATTTCTCTTGACAGCAGAGAGATTTGCTGATCAAAATGAATACAAGACATAACTAAAAGAAAGCAGGGTGGCATTGAGTAATGACAACACTCTGCATCATACCTTTGTTGCAACAAAACTTCTATTGTGACACAAAATACAGCAAGTGCCAATGCAGTTACTATACAACTGGGAGCATGTCACAACTAAAAGTAAAAACTGGAGATGGCAGAGCTGAGTAACTCAAATCATCACCACAGACACTAGCTGAAAACAGCTACGCCCTTTCACATTGTTCATCACCCTACATAGAAACCCTTTTTATTGTCATATACATATACACATACACGAAATTTGCCTTCTGCATTTGACCCATCCCTGTATATAGGGAGCAGTGGGCTGCCAATGACAGGCGTCCGGGGAGCCGGGGACAGCCGACACGTGACACATCCCAGTCGAGGATCGAACCGTTGACCCTGCGGTTACCAGACAACCCTCTTAAGCCAGTGAAAAAATCACTGTTACATTTTCACATTTTATTCTAAACATCAACTACAAACAAGTGATTAGCTTACATCTAACATCTAACAGTCTAAAGCCACAACAAACAAGAGAATGTAGCGTATCTATAATTTAGACAATGTGTTCATTCACTTGTGTCTGGCCCTGCTCTGTGTGTGTCCGGTCCTTTGACTGTGCGTTACCTGGATCCATGGCCATCTGTCATTTTCGGCAGCAGTCCAGGCATTCACCAGGCCCTTCTTGTTGAGGCGGGAAAAGTACGGGTACCACTTCTGCAAGCCAAAGAGAGCGCGGTGGGTGGAAGAGGCTGTTATCTGCTGGTTGGAGATTATGCCGCCCTCCATGCCCAGTGGTCCAGAGCATCCTGAGCGAAGAGAGGGAGAAATAGACAGATGAGTATGATCATGTCACATCAGCACTCAGAAACTGAGCGTGTGCAATGCATATACATTACTAAAAACACCACCAAGGCCGCATTTTATAATGACGGTGTTTTTGTCCTCCATATATTTTTCTTCATTTTTTACTTCACTGTCTCCCCATCAGAGTCAAAATCCTTGTTTGTCTTAGAGATGAATACCTCGGTCTCGTCTATGTGTACAGTATCACACGGGCATTAAAACTGCCACATTTCCTTCCCCGTTTGTTTTAGTGATGACCTCCTACTGAGACATTGTCTTTAAGGTTGTCATAGATTTGTGCACCACGACTCCTGTCTCTCATATTATAAATGTTGATTTGATTCATCACAAGATCATTTGTTACTGTTTCCATCATGGTGAAACCCTTTTGAGTCATGGCAGCCATCAAGAGGACTCGTATTTGCCTTCATGCTGTCCATATCCGAGGGGCTAACAGGTTGCTCCTTCATCTCTTCCATCAGCAACCCTAGCCCTTAGGATTCCTCCCAAGGAGCTGCTGCCACTTCTGGACAGCATCATCCCCAAAGTCAACAAGCTCTGTAACAGCTTCAGACATCCTACAGGCTGCAGTGGGGAGGCATGACAACAATATCTTCAGACAAAAACACGAAGCTTTCTTCTGTAAGCAACTTGTTTTCCCTCTTAATCGTTATTGGTACAGACACATCAAGGATATTTTAATAGACATGCATAACTGTTGTGAAAGGAGTTCTGGCTGTTTATTGTTCTGGTAAACAACTACTTCTTTGTGTTCCCATAAAAAAAAGCCTTTTGAGAAATAAAATAGTAACAGAAAACACGTGAGAAACAAAACTCAATGAATAAACTGATGATAAGGGGTTATGTATCCATACTGTATGTTTGAGAAATATCTGTATGTTTGAGAAATATCGGACTTAAAACAATATTCAATTGTATTGGATTAAATTAATAGTAAAACAAATGTTGACACTGAAAGCATCTGCTGTTTTATCAAAACTCAGCTCAGGATTAATTGAATTAAGATGGGATATGCATGCATGTAGTTTATATAGTTTAAGATGACCCATGTGTGTACACACCCAACAGTAACAGTTCAACTGAGCTTTAATATTTGTTCCAAACATCTGCGGTGAATCACCATCAAAAGAGAATTAGATGTGAATGCAGGTCCTCAGAATCCTTCAGCCTTAATAAATCGTGTTATAGTGTTGTCGAACTGAGATTTTAAGAGAGATTGTCTCTCCATTGGATAGCATTCAACCTGTAAATTGTATGCAACTTATTCACTTAGAATAACCCTAGAAATTGGCTTCCAATGCTGTGCAATTTGAAGGAAAACCAAACAGCTGAGAGATGACACAAAGTCGGTTTAAATTCTGCTAACCAGTAAGAATACAAAGACCCCCGCATCGTTATATTTCTTCTAGCCCAGAGTGCCTCTCAAACATAAACAGCATCACTAAGATGTGCTGTGTTAGTTGTGACCGATGTTCCAGTTTTAATTAGTCTCTAAGTCAAGCATAGTTGACATAAATGCAAGGATTTATAGCCGAGCATATTTTGTTTAGAAATACCTTTCCTAATGATCGTGATTTAATTATATGACCATTGTACAGTTCTAGAGCTACTGCATTCTCAACAACTACATTATTATTTACTATTTGAGGTAAAGTGGCTTGACAGTACTTCACAAATTCATCAATTCAAAGATGAACACCCATTGCAAAATATGCCGAAGATAGGCCCCAGTGAAGAACAGCTAACATTGGCTAAATGTATGGCTAAGTATAGGAGTTTACTGGATGTGTGTGCTGCACAGAGAAACTACCTGAAATTGCAGTTTGGGACATGCAATTCTCTATCAGAGTTGAAAGTCATAAGATTCAACAAGTGTGAACCAAATGGAATTTATTTCTGCCTTTCTTGTTGTGTGACAGCAGTAAACACATACATGTGACAGCAGTAATAATGTCTGCCTTTTCCACTTATGTTTTGCAAACTTATTTTCTGAATGCTACATGTCATTCACACCCATTCATACACTGATGGCACCATGCAAGGTGCCACCTGCCTATCAGGACTAACTAACATTCATACAACATTAACACACCGCAGGCACAGCTTACAGGAGCAATTTGGGGTTAGGTGTCCTGCCCAAGGACACATCGACATGGACTGGCAGAGCCGGGGATCAAATCGCCGATCCTCTGATTGAAGAAAGACCCGCTCTACCAGAGCCACAGTTGCCCTTATATGTCTACTGTTAGCGTGTCTGCACAGATGGTAGTAGCTGTGTTTAGAACCTGTGTTTTTATGAACCTTAAAACAATAAGTGTTTGGAAAGCTGAGGGAACTTGTCCAAAAAGAATGAGGAAATATCAAGTGCAAAGTCCTGCCAGAGGCACTGCTCACTCATGCTAACTGAACTGTTGGTGTCGGTGTAAACCAGCCTTCAGGGGAAGCCTGGAGCAGGGGTCACCCGAAGGCTGTCGTGCCTTCTCCATTTAAGCAAAACAGCTAAGCATTTTGAACCCAACACTTACACACAGACAGACGAGGCACACACACATTCCTGCAGACAATGAAACTGGCAGGGTTGGGAGCTGCAAGGAGACTTTCACCACAGAAGAAAGAGTCAGAGGAGAATGGAGCAATGAAAACAACCCTAGCACGACTTATCCATCTGCTAAAACAGTGAGGCTCTCGGCAACAGTAAGGCAGGGAGACAGTGAGTAATGTCTGAGGACAGTCCTTGGGGGATGACTGGAGGCTGGGAGAGAGCAAAGAGTATATCGTTTGAGTGTGTTTGTACTGACATAGATGAGTTTATATATTCCACTATGGTAAATCACTGAAAGGATGGCGTAGGTGGATGCGGTAGCCTACTGCTGAAGCTAAAGAATATTCTTATTTTCTGACCTGATGGATGAACTGTATTCAGTACTTTTAACAAGTCTTAGAAAGAACATAAAGCCTTCATTTTGTGACACGATAAACCAGACTAAACCCACGGCTCAGACAAAATTACAATGGTGTTGGATAAACAGTAATAAATGTTGCATTTTAGCACTCTAAGCCTAGTCGTATTAATTTAGAGACAATTCATATATGTGTGTATTAGCGGCAGTCTCTGCTTAACAGCTCTCCAATGAGATCTGTCCGTCAGCGAGATATCTCAAAATTCAAATTGATTAATTGATTAGACTTGATTCATGCCATTAAATAATTGTATCCAAAACTGTGAAATTATATTAAAAACATATTGGGTATGTTTTCAAGCTCAAGCTCAAACCTGAAGTGAGAGGAACATGTCTTTAGGTTTTACAGTAAGTTGAACAAGTGTCCCCCTAAAATGACACAATGCATTAAATATCTTTTCTCATTCAAGAAAAACAAGACTTAAAGGGTCTACAGCAGGGGTGCCCATACTTTTTCGACTGAATTAGAATGTTGAGGTGTCATGTTGTGGATGAACCAGGGTGCTCCACAGAGGACAACTAGACAGCTCTGAGGTAAGCCACAGGCAAAACCACTTGTCAAAATTTCTAGTGTTTTATTTTATTTTATTGGTATAAAAGTATTTTATTTTATTTTATTGGTCAGGCTTCCTGGGGGGCTCCCTGTTGATGTAAAGGTCTATCATCTGGCAAATTGGCAGATGAACTTGCAAGCTTTTCAACCTCACTTCAGGCTTCCGGTGTGCCCTCAGTGGTTTCTTCCACTGAGGGCAATCCCACTCCACATGCCATCATCTAGATCTTCAGCCTGCCCCTACTGCCTTCAACAACTCCACCAGTGTCGACTCTCCAAAAATTTTACTTTACTTTGCACAATTTAATAAATGTATTTGTTCACTGTAAATTAAGGTTTTCCTGATTTAACAACCTGTGTCTCCCTGTATAAGTGTGTCAATTATCTCCCGGTGGCTTCAGTTCTCCTATTTATTATGTTTTTTGTGATGTATGTCATGTTATTTCAAACTAATTTGCAATCATAAGAAGCGTGGTCTTTGTTGGTGAAATGTTTCTTATATACAAAGAACAATTACTTATCGTAAAACTCCAAAAATATAGTCGAGTAAAATCTTTTAGGTGTGTTTTCTAGAAACTACAGGTCTGATGAGGAAAGTGGGAACAGGTGTGTAGGTGGGAGGGGATGTCATGTGACCAGGACTGGCAGGTCTGGGGAGTGAGCAGGGGCTGGAGAGAAGGACAGAGAGCCAGGACAGGCAAAACCACCAACCCACTACCAAGTCTCTGCCCTCCTTCGAACTTCTCAGACAGTTTAAGTCAGGGGTGCCCACACTTCTTCGGCTTGCGAGCTACTTTTAAAATGACCAAGTCAAAATGATCTACCTACATTAAAAATGCTGAATATCTATTTATATATATATATATATATATACTGAGTATACTTTATATTTACAATATATGTTGGCGTAACTGCGTGAACCCTTATGGCACAATACAATTCTGTACATTTTTGGTCATTACCTTACTCTGATGACTTGCACTGAATGGGATTGGCCAGAGTTGCATAGTCCGGACAGTAGCTGCTGGTAGCCCACCTCAAGCAGACTTCAAATGATCATCAGTCATGGTGGAACGGTGTATGGACTTAATGCTCTTCATGTGGGAAAAGGCTGACTCACATAAATAAGTAGAGCCGAATAATGCAGTCAAGAAGGTATCACATTTCCTCATGTTTGGGTACTTTTCCTCTGTGAGAAAACTGTCCATGACCCCTGGACTTCAACTGAATGTCAGCTTGCAGTGTCAAAATCTCATCCTCCACTCCAGACGAGTTCAAGTGAAACAGCGTTGCAATTTTTGATGCGAGTAAATCAACCTCAATATCTTCCCGAAATGTGCAGCACACAAGTGTAGCAACTGGCTTGAGTAAAGCAAAGTCTCGAAAGCGTTTGTCAAACTCTGACAGACACTTGTCAATCTGCTCTGTGTAGCGCGCACTGTCAAGTTACGCACACGCCTTCCGTTGAGTCTCCAGTTCTGACGCGAGGTTTTGGAAGTTTCCCAAATCATGGCGCTACAGCTTTAGCTTCTTTAGTAGAAATAAACTGCAAGGCTAACTAATTAGCTTGCCGGAGTTTTGCAGTAGCTCGCGCGGTTGACCGCGCATACGTGGTGACCCGTGTGTTAGAAAATCAAGTGGCAAATGCCATGCGGCCATTCATTTTTTTTGAATGGCATGCGATCTACCCGCATTACCTCCGCGATCGACCGGTCGATCGCGATCGACGTATTGGGCACCCCTGGTCTACAGCCATGCCAACACCTCTGCAAGGCTGTACTGTGTAAAGTCAGGGGATCAACATTTGCTTTGAGTAATTAGGCATGTCTACAAATGGCAGGCTAAGGGGTGTTAATTGACTCGAGGGTGTATAACTCCTCACCAAATGTAAAGAAAGTAGAGAGTGCAAATCAATACTAAGAGCAATACAACATCCTTCATGAATACTGACTTTCAATTCATTAGGGATCCTGTGGACTTACATATGCTATTCTAGCCTTGCAACAGATGGTATATCTCGCGGATTTAACTGGAAACGGAATCTATGTTTACTCATTACGACCTGAGGTGAAAGGGCCCAGAAGCAAGGTTGCGTCAACACAGTATCATATTTGTCTAGTTGTTGCACCTCTTCGGCGGATCTCTTGTAAAGTATTCTATGTGGACAGACACTTACAAAGTTGCAGTCCTTCTCACCTTGCGGCAATGAAGGGCCTCTCTTAACGAGCTGCCTGCCAGTCGTCCGTCAGAGCAGCAGAGGCAGCCGGCCCCAGGGCCTTGGCCTGCTGGCCCCTGAGCATACATCAGCTCTGCGACAGCACACATCACTAACACCAGCACTACGGGAGATGTGACAGCTGAATCCATCTCGCACAAGCCCTACCTACAGCCTAAACAAATTAATTTAAGCATACTAACATTAATGAGCATGCGGTGGAAAGAGGGGATGAGAAAAAGAAGAATAAACACACAAAACTGATTTCAGCCAAACTGTATAATCGAGGTTCCACAGGTGCCAAAGAGAATAAATGATTCAAAAGTTATAGGCCGACCAATACAGGATGTTTGATGCCGATACTGATATTTGATTTTTTTAGGGATAGATGATGGCTGATAAATATATGTTTTTCACAACCCATAACGTAAATAAACATATACAAGGCAGATGGTTCTACAATCTTCTCTGACCCTGAACAAACCTCACCTTTCCTCAATATTGGATCTTTAACCGACCATTTAACCCATATTTGTGTCTGACAATGTGAATGTCCCCGGACGAATACGGCCGTAACAATCCCAAATTTGTGCCAGGTGTTATCGCCCTGTATTTGTATGCCTTCTTGTATATTTTACCAGGATTCATGTTGGCAAGCGACAGATATGATCATTTTTCGCACTACTGGCTTGCCATCAGATCGTGGGAATGACTACTGAAGGCACTGCAATTATTTCAGCAAAATCGGGTCATCACTGAACAGACAGACAATGGCCAAAAGCTCACTGCTGTCATCACATCACTCGTTTCTGGTATGGCCGAAAATGTACAGCTGCTTAATCTGCAACAGCCAATGTGTGTGCAGTACTTGCCCACTCACACAACGTGGGTTGAAGGAACAAGTCAGAAGAGATGACGAGTCCTTGGATACAAGTAGATGCCAGGCATTCTGCCTTTTCAATGTTATATATATTGGGGACCACACAGACTGTATTTCTTACAATAAAGCTGCGACATATTCAACAAATAATGCATTTAAACAGCAAAGTCAGAATTAGAGAGGAATTCCTCCACGTTTACACATGAAAACTAATTTACTCATCACAAGTAACAGGCTTGTGAGAAACATGTCCTCTGGGTCTCTGGGGAAGCTTTGCCAAATCTGAGAAAATAACTCAAGTGATGTCACAATGATGTCATCAGGGTTATCTCAGCTTGTTAAATCAGGCAGGGAGTATGTAATGGGAGACATTATGGAGTTGCATTATGGGAAATGTAGGTTTCAACTTTTTTGGAGCAATCTTTTTGGGGATTTTTGGGGAACTGAAAGAGGATAGTCTAGAAATAGGGGGGGAGAGAGAAGGCGCTCCTTCTGTTATACATTTCGTGATAGATGTGTGAACAAGGAAACAGTGCAGACGATTAGCTTTAGGAGTGTTTTGGGGTGTTTACATCTATATTGATTGAACAGTGTTATTTCCCTTTACACACTCAAAGATACACTGTGATCTTTTTTGGTTGTAAACATCATCAAATTAAAGCAGAGAGTCTGCACGTTCACCTCATGGTCATTGTTTTATTTGAAATCTAATGTGCACAAGTACAGACCCAAAACAAACCATAATACTTAAAGATCGCGCTACCACTTTGGCTGGCTGACTTAATGGCTGTATAATATGCTGTACAAATATAGAGTTTATATGAGGAAATGGAAATGAGCGCCATTAAACAAATAATGGAGCTTAGCATATGTTCAGTCAGTAAGACTAAATCATTCTCCGTGAGTTCTTCACTCACTACACCAACCTTATCAATCAGGCTTTGCCTCTTAACTCCTCTCTGTACACAAATTACCCTCTGCCGCAGTTATTCAATTCATAAAACAACTACAGCCACTTCCGAAATGTCTCTCTTTCCGATGCAGACTTGTTCTTGAAAAGTCCTGAGTATGTTGTCAAACAACTGTGCTGAACATAAGATATAGAAAATCTGACAAATGAATTTGTGAGTAGCAGTGCAGGGGTGGCTCAGGGCTCCGGGTCCACTGCTACATTAATCCTAATATGTTCCTAGAGTGAGCAGACCAAATCCCCACAATAGCATAATAAACACACAAGGGCACTTTAAGCTCTCCGGCTACTTGTGATAAGACGAAAGCTCTCTCTCATTCTACACAGCCACTGGGCAGAAGAATGAAATGAGGGCTTGCGAGCACAAAGTGGCCGTGACTTCTCAGCATTCAAGTGTTCAGATGTTATTTTAGGGTTCATTGTGTGTTTGTCTGAACATGCAACATTTAAAATGATACGAGGAGAAGTTTGGATTTTATTTTTAAAAAGTTGATAAAGTTTATATATGGGCTGTGTATGAATTGGATTTGCTTATTTGCCTTTAATTCAGAAGACATGAACATTGTGTGGAACGTGAAGACTTTAGTACGAAAGAAGATTAAAGCCACATGTGAAAAAACTCTACTCTCCTTCTTTTTCTCAAAATTCTCACTTTATTAAACTCAAATATTTGAGGCGCTAATCCTCCTCCGTACTTTAGAAATAATAAATGATCATGCTGCGCTAGCCATATCCAAAAATATACAGATAAGATAAGATACAGTGCTTTTCCACTGTCAACCGTTGAAAACGCCTACTTTCCTTCTCTGTGGCTTAATTTCACTGAGACATCTAGTTTTCTTTTTTAACTGCAATGGTGCACACTGAGCACATAATAACAATAATGGCTATTATAAAATGTACCCAAAAAACAAAGGATGTCCTCAAAGCTTACCAACCTTGCATGACCTTTAAAAAGTTGTCATCAAAGGTCGGCACACTATCCACTGAAATGTGTTGAGCAAAGTGTCTGGTGTGTGTGCTGCTAAGAATCAATGGCTAGCTGTCAAAGATTTAAAAGAAAAAGGAGAATTAAAACAGAAACATGAGCACTTACTGTATTGACAGTTCCTCCCCATGTATTCCCCTGGGCATTCGCAGGAATAGTTGGCAACCAGATCTGTGCAAATGCCTCCGTTCTTGCATGGGTCCCTTTCGCATTCGTTAATATCTGGAAGAGCCACAAAACAAAAGAAAAGGTGCATTCATACATTTGAAGCAGACATCGGCAATTAAAAAGAGCTCACTGTCATTGGAATGCACTGGTAGGGAGCGTATATTGCATTTTCTCAATGTGTTATTACATTGAGTCTGCCCATAGAAGCTCTCACAAAGATACCGGTTTCTTGGAACTAATAAAGGAAATAGCTCCTCTGAAGACCACTAATACTAAAACACATAAGTAACCTATAGTGCACTTTCTTTGCAGTTTAAATAATTAAATACATTTTCAGTGTATTTAACCACTGACAGTTATTTTGCGATAGGCTTGGTAAATATCCTCCGTCTCTCCATTAAAGTATCACAGAAACATAGAAGAGCAAAACAGACTGTAGATATGCTACATTGCCACAGAATTATCATATTTTGTACAGCCATATTTGCACTGTAATTGCTCTCTGCAATATGATCTTCTCTAATTGATTCATCATCTAATTACAGAAGGTGACAGACCCACAACCACACCCATCCCACTCATTAGCACTCTGTCCTCTTACAGCTACAGTTAAGGGAAACGGGATAACAGTGGGAGAGGAAAGGCGGTAAACTTTTGAACAATCTTCGAATGATTTCCAAACTTGCCCACACTTTTAATCCTCTAAAACATACCATGAGTCGTCTGTGACTACATTTTGGCTTCATGAATATGTAACTAGGCTTGAGAACAAAGTGAAACGTGATAAAAGTGAGTCTTTCACAGTGCTTCATCTCCCTGAGATTGTATCTATACTATATATAACAGTCACTTGAGCACATTTGTAATATCTCAAAATGTATTGTTTTTCGGTGAATGTCCTGTATGCTGCAGAGAAATACAGTCTTCACACATAATGGTCACTGAGGTACTGTGACTGGAAGCAGTAGCATCTTTAATCTACAGCAAAGCACAAGAAAACATATATAAATAGAGTGAAATAATGAAATTGAACTGTAGAACTATCAAATGCTGTGCAGGTTGAACTTGAAACACATTTCATTTTCATTTGTCTTGGAATTCAAAAGGAGACATTTTGCTTCTGCGGCTGTCTGGACGTGAATAATCCTCTCTATGCAGTATATACTCTATTTTTATTCTTGATTATCACCTAACACTGTGTTTTTATTTGATTTATTTTGTGAGCACCCAGCCAGCACTCTCAAGACAAGGCCTGCTGTGTCTATTAATATGGCGGTTACATCCTGCTTCAGATGTAGCTGATGATAGAGAAGCCCTGTAATTTGTTAATCCTGTAATACACAGCCAGTTTAGTGTAAAACAGCAGGTGATAGATCACATTTACTGCACATGAAATAAATCCTCCGAATGGGATGCGTCCCAACTTGTATAATTTTAGGGCTTCATTCTTAGGGAGATTGAACACAAATGTTTTACTAGCCAGCATATTGTTTTGTGATGGAGCCTGACTTTTCACAGTTGGCATTAAAATCACTACTCTCAAAAGACAGACTGCATCAACACACAGCTCTGCTAGACACAAAGTAGGTAGATCAAACTCAAACTGCAGGGGCCACTCATCTTTAATTATGATCGAACATGTAAATTATAACAGCGAGAAGTGAAATTATTTTGCCTGTCAAGCTGTGAAGATTTGTATATTTGACATTTATTGTAAGTGTTGCCTTGTTTGTGTGTTTTTCCATGTGTCTGTTGGTGCATGCCTAAGTGTCGACCCTAGCTGTTTTCCAGCATCTGTTTCTCAAGACATTTACAAAATAATTTCATGAAGCCATTCAAGTTCCGATATGCAGTTGTTGCACATTGTTCTTCATTGAAATAAGAGCAAAGAATGACACTGAAAGCTTTTCCCAATGGACAAGATGTTTTCGCTATTCTGCCAACTGGCTTCAACAATAGTTTGGTTGACAGATAGTTCGTCTAACTACCTGCCAAATCTGTTTTTTTTACAGTGCCTGCCCTTTTACAAACAGTTTCCAATGACGGCTCGGTTCTATGTAACAAACCATCTGGTGCGGCACGTTAGTTGCACAGGCTGATTGCTTCTCCCCAAAATTGCATCATGATTGGATCTACATTTTGCTACAGTCAGCTGGGGACCATGCAGTTGAGTCCATGTGCTTTGACTTATGGAGATTCAATCTATGTGAGACAAACAGAGAGATGCACTGCACACATATGGACGGAGGAAATCTTAAGCTTAGAGAGAGGAAATAAAATTAAATTAAAAAATATTAAATCAGAAAAATCTGATCTGTTATTTTATTTTATTTTATTTCATGAAAAGCTAAAAATAAAGTGTTCTCGTATAGATTTAAGTGTGCGGATATCTTTTCTACCAGTTTCAGCTTTTTTGATACTTCCAGCACTTCAAGTCGGGGGAAGCGGTGGTTATCCTGCATCATGAAAATTGGTGAAAATATGTTCACGATTGTCACAATCTAAATCTAGCCTTATTGGTGCATTTAAGAGAGCCAATCACTCAAAGACTCTGTCATTAACGGGTTGGATTTGAGTCTTTCTGGGATTATTGCAACATTCTAAGTGCTTGCAATAATCAGCTGCACAACATACAGTAATCAGTAGTTATTGTACTTCTCCATAGCTGACTCCAGAACCTTTCATGTTTCAAATGTGACACAGAATAATGCTTCCCATTAACCAGTTTCCTCATGTTCACCTGTAATCCTTCTAATGCTCCGGCCCCGGCTTTAACTGTGCTTTGATGAGCTAGTACAGGACAATGTGTTACAGTGGCAAATCCCAAAACAGCCAGCATGACAACATGCCTCCTACTGACAACACACAATTAGCATAGAGATGAAAAAAACAAGCACTTGTCAGAAGGAAACATATCAATTATGGAAGGTTAATGCAATAATGGGGGATTATGTGTACGATCCTGTGAAGAACCGTTAACCTGAAAAATGACAACTAGAGCCTGCCTTAAAGAGAACAACAATCCTCATTCAACAATTCAGCTTCTTAGTGTTTTGTAATTGTTACTATACTAATACTAATCCAGTTATTAATCAAAGGTACAGCAGGCCATATAAAACCACATTAATGCAATTCACAGAAGAGTTATTTGTACAAAGGAATATGTGAAAAAATGTGAACGTGAAAAGCACACCCTCTAGAGACTAGTACTTCAAATGTCAAAGAAGTATATATAAAACATAAATGTACATCCACTCATTAGCCATACCTGCTAAACCGTGATGGGCCCTGGCGGGAGAGAGGCACAGGGCACTATTATACAATAGCACCAAAACCATAAACAATCTGCAGGTCATTCTGCACACAGCACAATTCACTGTTATATTACCGCTGTAATCACACCACTTAGAGAAGTGATGTTGTTGTTACCCAGTAGGTTCATATCCTGCTTTGTTACCACCAGTACTGTAGGTCCAAGTACAAAGGTGAGCCAAATGGGCAAGCTGCACTCAAATAGCCGGGAGCACAACATACCACAGAGCGGGGAAAACACAACAAGCCCATCTTACGATTTCCTTTCCTTTTATGAGAAGAGCAGGGAAAGGAAGAGTTTAAAAGTGGTGTATTGCCAGTAACTCAGGTGGGAGAAAAGGGATTACTTCAGAGAATGCAGTTAAATCGGCCAACATAAAATAGAGAAGAGAGGTGATGAGAAGCGAGGAGAGGATTGGAGGGACAGAAACTGTGAAAGAAAGAGAGAGAGGAGGGTGTAACAGAGAAATATGAGCAGGCCTAGTGGTCAGGTAAATAAATGCAGTGTTTCTGTTTACGCAACACAGTTACAGGCATGCATCCAAGGAGTTCCCCCAATAGTCAGATTCGTCCATTCTGCAAATTAACAACATTTGCAACTGATGTCTTTAGTTTAATGGGAATGATGCCATCTCGGTTATAATGGATTTAACAAGCCAGTTTGTGTAAAGATGTCCACAGCGGATGGAGACAATCAAACTAAAAGGCGTATAATTTAATATAATACAACACACTGGCTCTCCAATAATACTACTTGTGAAGGTCATAATGTTCTTTTTGTTGAAACTGAGCCGGGATGATGTTGATTTCACTTATACTGTATTTGGTGTTATTACATTAGATTGTAACAATATAGTACAACAACACGGTTTTGATGTTTTGTCCACCTGCTGCACATACAGTGGGGGACAAAATACAATTGGCCATTGGTCAGTAACACCAGGCAAATGATGTAGTAAACGATGATGGGCTAATACAGTGCATTATATTGCACAGGTGCATATTTCATTATGCCAATCATCAATAACACTAATTTCTTTATTAATGAATATAATGCAATTTTATAAATTAATTGGTTATTGTTGTGAGACATATTACAATTAATAAAATGATTTATACCATGTAATATACTCTTATCATTATTAACATCATCATCATCTTGCCTCAGACAATACCTCCGGACACTATGAACCCCAGAATACATCTGATCTGTCTCTGTTCAGACTCTCATCGGTCCACTGGAATGTCTCGCTAGCTGGCTTTGCTCCTCTATTGCTATCTAAAAAGTGTCTCAGTCGGACAATAATGAGAGCAATGAATAGTGGTATATGTCGGGAACGCTAAATTGGCTTTTGTGTGTCTAGAGAGCAGGAGCAGACCTGGGAGGGGTGGGGGGGGGGGGTTATCTGTGCCCTCTCCGCTGGACTGCACTGACCTCTGCGGCGCCTGCACCTGCTACAGCCAGCACAAGCACACAGCCGATGAATCCGCTTTCCAGTTCATTCAACAGTAAAGGTATTGTGTCAAATCTTGCACAACGGAGGATGTATATGTGCCATAAAGATGAGGCAAAACAATGATGAAGCTCCATCGGTGTGTAGCATTTAGGGGGATCTATTGCCAGAAATTGAATGTAACAATATTAAGTATGTTTTCTTTCGTGTTTAATCACCCGGAAATAAGAACCATTGTGTTTTGTAATCTTAGAATGAGTCGTTTATATCTAGATACAGAGCGTATCC